CATCCCCCCACCTCTCTGCAGACCTGCCCTCCTCTCTTTGATGCTGGTAGAGTCAGTTCCCCAAATCCTTCTGCCTTTTCCCAAAGTCGCCCCCCCAGGGTGTGATGTCCCTGGCTGAGCCCCAGTCAGTTCCCAGAGTGTCCTGGAGCACCAGAGCCCTGACCCTGCCCTCTCCCCAAGGTCTCCCTCCCGGCCCATGCACCCTGCCCTGCCGGTGCACCCTCAGGGGCCCGGGTGTGCTCCGGCTGCTCTCACTATATAGGCTTCTTCCCCTGAGGCCCAGCCCCACCCTTTCCTTCCTCCTCCCTCCTCCCACCACCCTACCTCTCTGCCACGACAGGCTCAGTGCAGCTGGAAAAACTGCAGGGCAAACAACTGCTTGGAGAGCTGGCGATGCTGAGGGGGACCCACAGGGACACCCAGGAAAAGCCACAAGGTGACCCTGAATTCAGGACCCAGGAGCATGAGGCTAGAGGGACAAGAGACAGGTAAAGTATCTGGAACTGGGTAGGAGGTAAATCAGATGGAAGGACAGGTACGGAACCCAGAGGCCCGGGCTGGGGAGCTTGAAGCTGATAATGACTGGGCCATGAGATGGGGGAACTAGGTTCAGCAGGGGGCAGGGGGATGGTGGGGGGCGCTTCAGCAGGAAATCAAAACTAGAAGGTTAAACCTAAAGGCCTAAAGTGTGGGCTGAGGGCTGCAGGGACTCTGGACTCAGTTTCCCTATTGGTCAACCAGGGCCATTCTAGCTCCAGTAGTGCTCACCTAGGAAGAGGGATGCTCTTCAGCCTAGAAGAGAGGAGACCCTAGTAGAACCATCTCTCCTTGGAGAGGGGCCACTGTTGAGTAGAGCCAGGCAGCTGCTGTGGGTCACGGTGGGTCAGGATCACCCAGGGTACTTACGCAAATCACAGCTGCTCCAGGCCCTCTGCAGACCCTCCGGCTCAGACTGGTGGGAGCAAGGCTCAGGGGGGAACCTGAAGACCCACCAGAAGTGATGTGGTGGAGAAATCATCTCCATAGCACCAAGAAATGCCACGGAGAGGTTCTTCCCATCACTGGGGAAGCCAGGCCTCTGAGGGGTGGGGGGTGGGCTTGGCAACAGAGATTGTCATTGGCTGGGCCTGATCAGAGGGTCTGCACAAAGCAGGGGTGAATCATGACCTCAGGGTCAGGGCCAGGGTCAGGGTGGGGCTGCTACCAGGCCAGGCTGGAAGGAGACCAAATGCTCTAAGCCCAGCCCTTCCGCCCTTCCTAGCTGGCCAGCCACGAGCGACCATGCTGCCCACACCCAATGGCAGTGGGCCGAGCCAGGAGCTTGAAGGCCATTGGCCAGAGACCACAGAGAGGTCCCCGTGTGTGGCCGGTGTCATCCCTATGATCTACTACAGCATCCTGCTGGGCCTGGGGCTGCCTGGTGAGTGGACAGCTGGGGGCTGGGGTCTTGGGGAAATAGGGGTCCTCCTTTGATGGAAGCCAATCCTCTATGTTGACCCCTGGGACCCAGGATCATAGACCCCCCCCCC